CCTGGCCCTGGAGACCCACCTACAGCTGTGACCCCCTCAGTCCCCCCATCCCAGAGCTGCCTGGCGCTGCCCAGGCCACATCTCTCCTGGCCCTCGGAGCATCGGAAAGAGAATGAGCCTAGGTCTCTTCTGACTGAGGCCTTGGTGGGCAGTGGGCACGTGTGGCCAGACCCCTGCGGTAGCCCAGGTGACTCACTGTTACCTGAGGAGACCCTTGTCCCCTCCTGGGCAGTGAGCAGCCCTGGACATGCCGGACGACACGGGGGCAAGGCTGCAGCCAGGACTGAGGCCAGGCCTCTGGGGGTCACAGGCACCACACACAGCCTGAAACCCACTCCCCACACACGTGGGACCACCTGCCACAGACACGCAGCCCGGCTCCCGCCTCAAGGCCTTAATGGAGACCTCAGCCCCACGGCACCCCTCCTGGACTCTCTCACAGCCCAGGTTTGCCCACCCCTGGGGCTGGCGGCTCAGGGATCCCGTCAGGAAGGAGGTCCTGACCCACAGCACCAATGCCTGAGGCCTCAGCCCAGGACCCGGCTCTGGAGCGGCCGGCGCCCACCTGCGCAGGTGGGTGACCGCTGGGGACCAGCCCCCGCCAGCAGCAGGTCCCCAGCACTTCACTCAGCCACAGCAAGGCGCTCACGATCTTTGTTTTTCAGCTTTTATAGAATGTTGAAGGTGTGCTCACAGCATCTGAGGGACGCCCCCTCCCCGGGGTGTGCCACTACGAGGTGCCAGGCGCCAGCGGACAGGATGCTTTTTTAAGGAGCTTATTAATGACGTAGCTTATGTTGGTGGCAGTGCAAACGAATAGCAGCTTTTTCTCTAAACACACCCAGTTCTCCGGGTGCCCTGACTTCAAGTCCTACAAGCAGGCAGATGTGGGGAGCGCTCTGGTTTTCGGGAAGTTTTCCTCAACAAGGGGTGCCTGGACACAGAGGCCGGAAGCTGAACCAGGAGTGTTGGGGTGTTTAGGGGAGCTCTGTTGTTCCCCTTCTTTCCCTCTGCTGACCCCCCAACCACGGCAGGGAGCCTGAACATGCTTCGGCTGAGACCCTGCCGCTGGGAACAGGGTGGGGCACAGGCAGGAGCAGTGACAAGGCCCACGGATGAGGGCTTGTCTATTAATCCGGCTTCTGGGGAGCAGGCACACGGGGGCCTGAACATGCTTCGGCAGTCCTTAGAGGGCGCCCCTGACCTCCCCGAGGGCCTGGGCAGGAGGAGGACGAGGAAGTGGTGTCTGTGGTCCTCCCCTAACTGTTGGCCAGCTGCTCTGGCAGGTTTGCCCTAATGGGTGATTCTTACGTCCCCTAAATGTGTGAGGAGCCCAGCTAGGTGGGGGTCATCAGCTGAATACTGTCCCCCAAAGATGCCTACATCCTAGTCTCGAAGCCTGCGAATGTGACCTTATGTGGCAAAATGGGGCTTTGCAGAAGGGCCTAATGTACAGACCTTGAGATGAGAGACTGTCCAGGGCTCTCTGGTTGGCCCTAAATGCCACCTGTGTCCTTTAGGGAGCAGAGGGAGGTTAGGCTACAGAGCGAGGCCATGTGACCATGCAGGCAGCTGGGAGCTGGGAGCTGGAAGCAGGGAGGGCCCTCCCTGGAGCCCCCGGGGGGAGCGAGGCCCTGCTGACACCTTGATTTTGGTGCCAGACCTCCAGCCTGAGACGTTCCTATTGTCACAGCCCCAGCACTGCGGGCGGTCCGGGCAGCCCGGGGAGCGAATGCGGCCCAGCTCGGCAGCCCCGGCCTCTGGAGCACCGGCAGCCCTGCAGCTTCAGCAGAGCGCTAGCACGGTCTCGGGGTCGCCCACAATGTCCCTGTGCACCAGCTTAAAGGTGTCAATGAACAGCTCCATCCAGTCCTGCCGCTCGCCTCCTGTGGCGAACTTGGCCCGCTCAGCGGTGTAGACCAGCACGGCCACCAGCCTGGAGTAGGCGGCCGGGTCCTGCGTGAGCTCCGTGGCGTTTAGCAACTGTTGGATCTGGGGGATGGTCGTGGGGAAGGAGGCGTCCGGGCCCTCTTCCGTGCGGAGGAAGGTGACCGGGGGCGCATCGCCAGGCCGCGGTCCATCTGCGGGGCATCCAGAGAAGGCTTTAAGGGACGCGGTCAGCGTGAGCGGGCCTCCAGCCGCCCTCCTCGGGCTTCTCTCCTCGGAGATGAGTTGGCATCAAAGCCAGGAATGAGGCTGAGGCTCAGCCGGGGTGGGACGAGGAGACCGGGACGCCGCAGTGCCAGAGCTGAAAGGGCTTTGGGGCCAGCAGCGGGCACATGCCGAGGAGACGGGAGAGAAGGCCTCTGGTCCCCAAGGCCTGAAGAACTGCAAGACCCTCGGCCCCACAGCTGCACTGAGACTTGACCAGATGCCAGTATGGCTGCTGACCTCTCAAGGCCATGCCTGGGATGACCCAGCTCCTTAAAACGCTCCACGCTGCCATGAGAACTCAGTCTGTTGCAGCCCGAACCTGGTGACAGGACCCTCTCAGGACAGATACTGTAGAGAGCCTGCAGTTACAAAATCTTCTCTGCCCTTGGGGACATAGATCCCCCTCCCAGAACTGTCCCCTAAAGGACCTGGGGGCAGCAAACCCTCAGGGACGCTCTCGCTCTGTCTCCCACCCCCGGGAGGGCAGGGCCTCCCTTCCGTGGGCATCTTACTACAACGTGCACCACTGCTGTCGGTCCTAAAGGGTTGAGAAGTCCGTTTCTCTCCTGCGTATGTGCCAGTCAGCACACCCAGGGGGGGCCTGGTCACAGGGACCCCCTCCCCACCCCCAGGGCCTCTGCGCAGCGGGCCGTTAGCCAAGTCCTCTGCTTCTGTTTGGGGGTAAATGGGAACTCTTAGCGACCTCGGAATGAGATCTGTCTTTGTCGCTTTTACCCGGAGCCTGGCTTTGCTTCTCTTTGAGTCTTGTGGCCCTGACACAATCAGGCATGGCTTCTGGGTGGACGGGGCCGCTTGGCCTGAAGGTCAGGGCCATGCCAGAGGTGGCAGCCTCACCCCAATGCCTGTCTGCAGCCCCCAAATGCCGAGGACAGTGCCCAGCCGCGGCAGGGCGCCCCCCCCCCCCCCCTTGTGCCACAGCACATTCTATAGTTATGTCTGCTTTCTTTTCTCTGGTCACAATGTCTATTTTACTTGGAGATTTCTGGTCGCTTTAGAGGAGGATGAGTTTGAGTTTAGTACTAGGCGGGTAGTTGAAAGAGGGCGGGGAGGGGTCTTCCAGGGGCCCCTTCCTTTTCTCTGTCAGGTCCTCGAGGGGAAGGGAGACCACCATCCTGGGGGCCAGCGTTTAACGCTGACACCAGACAAGGACATCACAAGAAAGGGAACTGCAGCCCAAGATCTCTCATGAGCAGAGATAACAAAAAAAAAATCCACAAAATATCAGCAAATCGAATCCAACAACATAAAAATCCCGATACTCCGTGACTAAGTGGGGTTTGCCCCTGGTCTGCAAGGCTGGTTCAGCATTCGAACATCAGTGACCGCATCTGTCACAGCAACAGGCTGAAGCGGCAGCCCCGATCGTACCTACAGACCAGACAAGCTGTCTGACAAAGCCATTCATTCCCGGGAGGACTGAGCTGCGCGGAGTGAGGGACCTTCCTAAGTGCGGTCGGGAGCAGCTGTAAAGAGCCTCCGCTGGCATGGAACACAGGTCCAGGCCGGGCGAGGATGCCGGGCCACTGCCTGGCCTGGGCACCGGGGTCTGGGGTCTGGTTTCTAGCCTAGAGGGGTCACATTTACTACGGGACACACCCCAGCAGGGTTTCGGGTGGTTCTGGCCACCACACACAGCCGTTCCCATAGGGACCCCACGCCCAGGCAGTCTCTGGATGACGCCACAGCTGGGTCACATGTAGGACTTCCATGAGCATTTCCTTGAAAGTTCTCTGTCAGAATAAGTGGGAACCCTGGCCCCCACTCAATATGTTCCTTCCCTCAGGCACCTCAGCACCTTCGAACCTGCCTGGTGGGCCAGGAGCCTGCGTACAAGCCCAGTGTACACGCAGATGTGGGTGCCCTCTGCCAACCTGCCAACACGGCCCCGCCCCTCTACGCGGCTCCGCCTTCCAGAGCCAGCTCTAGCGCTGGGACTGGACAGGCAGGTGCCCATATCCCAGCGGGAGGGGCCAGCAATGGCTCCAAGACCCAGGCCGGCAGGACGCAGGGATTGCCAAAGGGGGCTCAGCTCCTGCCACCCTGGGGCAGAGGTGGCAGCATGATGCCCAGAGGAGTGACAACGCTGTTTTGAGGGACCCCTTGGGGACAGCCTCTCTGTGCCTCCAGGGCCAGCCACGCACACGATGCACCAGTTGGGCGGGTCCCCTAAACACAGGCTGGAGTCCTTCCCAGAGGGAAGATGGATGAGCCCCCAGGGGCCTCAGGGAGCCATTAGCCTCTGTGTTCACCTCCCAGAAGGTTTTAAATTAGCCATTTTCTTTACTGGATCCAGGGCTTTCACCTTTGGCGGCCGGGGGCATGGCCCTGGGGGTCTGTCTCTCCCCTGGGCACCAAGTTCACGGCCAGGCCCTCAGCACCCCTCCCCACATGTGCCAAGTGGGTGGGACAGCAATGGCACTGGAGACACCAAACCCTGGGCCCCCAGCCCCTTCTCAGACATGCTGAGGCCCAGGGGGCTGAGAAACCCACGGGCCTCACTAAGGGGGGGGCCCACAGTGCATTCCTTGCAAGGTCCTCTGGGCCCCCGTCACTGCTAGTCTGAGGGGTGGCTCCCCGTGTTACCTGTTTGGCAGGGAAGGTCCGGGCACACGATCTGGGGGTCTAGGAGAGAGGAAAGGAGGCCAGGGGTCCTGGTCAGGCTCCTCTGTCCAGGGCGGGCTGGGCTCCCTCGGTGGCCCACAGACACCCAGCCCCTGCCCTCCCAGGGTCCCCTTCCCTCCTGCAGGGACAAGGGCTGGGCAGGCCGGGGAGGCGGGAGGCCCAGCGCCGCTCACCCGGGCACAGGACGTCCTCCATGTCGTCGATGAACTTCTCGGCCACCAGGTCGGAGAACAGCGTCATGTTGCGCACCTGCTGGGGCTTGTCGCACGCAATGGAGTTGAGGTTCTCGCTCTCGTGTTTCTCATGGAACATGTCCCCGATGCCGATGGCCGTCACCGTGACATCGTGGTTGCACAGCGCCCGCAGGTTGAGGTCGTCGTCCCGGGGGTCGTGCCGGCCATCCGTGATGACCACTGCGAACACGCGGGTCTTCTTGCGCCGGCTCTCCTTGATCAGCTTGTTGTAGGCGAACTTGAGGGCGGAGGGCGTCCAGGTGCCGCCTGCGATCCACTCGAGGTTCTTGACGGCCTCCTTGAAGCTGGACAGCGAGTTGATGCGCTCGTCGTCCAGCTGGATGGCCTCGAAGGTGCCCTCGTGGCTGTACTGCACGACGCCCACTCTGGTCCCTGCGGCGGCCGGGTGCGGGCGTGAGAGGCTGTCTGCGTCACCCCACGCGCTCGCCACCCTCAAGTGGGGGCCGTGGGACCCTCGGCCAAGCTAACATCCCTCCCAGGACTGGATGTCAGGGTGTCCTGCCCAGGGTCTCCTGCCCCCGCCCCTGAGGGTGCAGCTGACCTGTCTCGGACTTGGGGTCCTTGGCGATGGCCCCCAGCCTGTTGACCACGTTGATGACGAAGTTCTTCTCCAGCGTGAAGTTGGTGTAGCCGATGCTCTCAGAGCTGTCGATGACGAACACCACGTCCAGGGCGCCACACCGCTTCTCACAGTCTGTGGGCCGGCAGAGGGGCGATGGCTGCGTGCACCGGCCCCCGCCCAGGACACCCCCCCACAGGGCGCACAGCCCGGTGCACCGTGGGAAATGATCACCACCAGGGGGAGGGTGGGACTCTGATGACCCCGACCTCTGGGCGTGACCCCACCCTTGGATGATGACCCTGACTGCTGGGTGAGAGCCGGGCAGCCCAGCAGCACCCCCGTGTGGGGGCTGAGACTCACCACAGCACCCGCACGTCTCCCGCACGTAGGTCATGACGTCACACTCCTGCAACACAGTGGGTCAGTCCAGCCTGGACGGCAACCCGAGAGGGGCCAGGGGTCTGCAGCCCTGTTCCCCTCGCCTCTGACCTCCCCTGCTGACCTCCTGCTGACCCCCCCGCTGACCTTGCCCTCTGACCTCCCCGCTGACCTTGCCCTGCTGACCGTGACTTGCTGACTTCATGCTAACACCCCTGCTGACCTCGCCTGCTGACCCCACTCCTTCTGACCTCACCCTCTGACACTGTCCTTGCTTTTCGGTTTTAGGAGGGAGGACACTGATTCCATCCCCAACTGGTACCTACCGTGAGGCCGGGGTCTCCGGGGGGTCCAGGCTCTCCCTGGAGGAGAAGGACGACAGTGAGAGGTGACCACTGAGTCTGAGCAGGGTCCCTGCACCTGGCCCTGAGCTTCCACCACAGGCAGAGCCCTGTGGTTCAGGGTGTGTGTTGGCCTAACTGGCCCAGAGGCTACGGCCTGAGGGCCCTATGGACGGGAACTGACCTACCTCGGGTCCTGGGGGATCCTCTCGGCCCCCGAGGGCCCGGCTCACCAGGGGGACCAGGATCTGCCTGAGAAGGAAAAAAAGCAGGTCGGCTCAGCAAACACCTATACACCTCCCTTGCTTCTAGATGAGGAGAGACGAGGAAGGAGGAGGGATGAGGAGAGAGGAGGAGGAGGGACGAGGAAGGAGGAGGGAGGAGGAGGGACGAGGAAGGACGAGGAGGAAGGAGGAGAGAGGAGGAGGGCTGAGGAAGGATGACGAGGAAGGAGAGAGGAGAAGGAGGAGGGCTGAGGAGAGAGGAGGAGGAGGAGGGCTGAGGAAAAAGAAGGAGGTGGATGAAAACGGAGGATAAAGGAGGAGGAGGAGGAAGAGGA